TGTAATTCCTGGAATGGGAGGAAGTGGGGGATGTAACCATGAGTCCCTCCATAGCTACAGGAGGAACCACCTGGTCATGTGACTCTGTAGGCGATGCTGGCTTCTGCTCGTCAGTTTCATCATTAGACATTTCATTATCTGAGTCATCACCGTCTAAGCTGTTCAGACTACAACTGTAAATATTACATCTTCTTGTAGACACAAACCATAAATGAAACTTATAAAATTCTGGATATTTTAACATGCATAATATCCAAGCACTCTATAGTTTTTCTTTGAAAAAAAAAAGCTTTCAGAAGTAAATCACACATCTTCAACTTATATGTCTAAAAAGCTCCATTTCTAATGGTATCAGTGAACGTCAGTACTTGATGTGATTGACCTTTTCATTTGGTTCCTGTCACTTTCAGCTTATGAGAGCTGATGCTGAGAGTTAAACTCCATTCTAAATCATTCAGTTCCCTTCATATTCAAAAAGCAGAGAGATAAAGGTTTTGTCAGGCTTTTTTGACTCACTTTTGTCTGTGTGTTAGGTTTTGATCAGGTCCACTTACATTTGTGACAGTCATGTCAAGACATATTGGGGGTACAAAAATAGGAATTTTTTTCTCAATCACAAGTGATTGGTGTAACAAGTTTTACATATACTCTAAACTGACAGTGTAAAACATAAAAAGAACTATGTTCCATACGTGTTAACCTACTGTACTGAAAAAGGGGGAGATTCTGACCTCAAAAGTAGTTAGGTAGCATTGGTGCACAGTGATTAATACTTCAATTTTGAAAGAAGTAAATATTTTCTCTAATGACCACTGTTATCGTTAAAAATCAATATCAAAGTTCTGCAATTAAGTTATAAAAAACACCATTTACATACGGAAAGAAATATTTTTCATGCTCATCACAATGGCCTTTAGATGTTGGCATAGCATGGAAGCAATTATTTCCATTGGATAATTCAGATTTCAAACTAGTTTGTTTTTCTTTAAGGGAGCCGACTAGGGTTTTATTATGTGAAAACTATTGTAGAAAAACTCTTTAAATTTATACCATATGTAACTTGTATTGAATGCAGAGTGTATGCAAAGTTTTGGGAAAATCTACCAGCTAGGTATTTTTAGGGACCATCTCAAAATATAGGTACAATTACTATAGGATTATATGGGAAGGTGCTAGTTTTAGCACTTCAAAGCAAATTTTACAAATACTACAATAGATTTTTCGCTCATATTATAATATATGATGCGTAATACTATATTGTACATTATATACAAGAAATATGAAATTCTACAGTCTGGTTTCCAGAGTGAACATCTCAAAATGTAAAAATTTACAAAACTTTCCTGTTTTTATGCAGTATTACAAAAGATGACAGATATACTAAGGATGGATACAAAAAATACAGTAAACAGTAGACAAAGAGACAAGCTTACCTTTTACCAGACAACACTGGGTTACTTTTCTTGTTAATTCTGTGTCCTATAGCATTCTGGGTCATCAGATTGGGCCCCCAGCTTCTTCGTCTCACCCCTGGAGTGTTACCCCCATAGAAGTCCTTCAGGAAGTTGTTGAGACTAGAGTCCAAGGGCTCTTCTTGGCTGTCTGTGTGTTCAACTGTCTTCCCATTTACATAAATCTAACAAATAAAAGTTACAAAATATATAGTACCCTGTATATAAAGAATTAGTTTCATGTGAACTTAAAATATGATATCTAGACAAGCTCATAATGCATACTAAATATCTATAGATATTAATAACCTTTTTTATGTGTCAATACTGAGGCTTTTACTCTCATACAATATACTGTGTATCATAATAGATAATTTCTAGAAAAATTACCCATTATACAGTACATGTATGTGAAATATGAGGGTTTGAAGGCAACCTTTATATTTACACATCTTAAACAACATCACCAAGGAAAACCTTTGCTTTTTGTATGTTAATCTAACATTACATTGAATATGTGACACAAGACTATAGAGCAGTGTTTCAATTTTTGTAAAGTGCTCTAATATAAAACCAGCTAATAGAAACTAATAGGCTTTTTGCATGTAACTGGGTACATAAATATCTCCAATTTTTTCTTTAAAAGTAAATATCTGCACCATGGTGCATAATTTATAGATGAAATTTGCAATACAATACACTATGTAAACACATGACAGTTTCTGCATAATCAATTTTTGAGGCTATTTCTAGTACTTAATGCTAGACCAAGTGGATGCACATCACACTGTTGATACCCAATATAATATGTATGAGTCCCATGAACTACAATGCTCACCTGTGTCACCTTGGCCCTGCTGTTCTACGTCAAAGATTTTTAAGATCCCTCCTCCCTTTTATTTCCATGAAAATTGTGGCCCTATATATTATATTCCCAAGCAAAACTTTGATTCCATATTGTGGCTCCATCCTAACCCCTGACTTGAACATGTTGAATCTACACTATCTGAGGATACATGCACATTTCTTTGACAAATATTGACCCAGCTGTTATCACAATGTGAAAGGTTAAAAGAAGAAGATATTTCTTCTGTTCACAAATACATTAAGCAATATTTAATAAGCTCTGAACACAACTGAAAAAAGTGTAAATAAATCAAGACAATTACCACTTTCATTAGGTTAAATTAAAAAGAAATGGCATAAATTGCCTAAAATATTATATATCGAGATACACAGGTATATATTTTTGGACCACTATACAGTACAATTTTTCAGTGTATTGCTGTATGCAGGGATATTGTTTCACCCCATCACTAATTATGGCTCTGCTGTTCTTGAGAATATTTTATCTACCCTCAGGGGGCTTGATTTGAACAAACTTAATTCTACACTATGTCAGAAAGCTTTCAAATAAGTTTCATTTCTTCTGGCCCAGTGGTTCTGGAGATTTTTTTAAAGACATCCATCCCATTTTTGCATTTTCTAGATTATCTCGCCTTTCAAGAAGGCATGGCCCTTCATTTGAACAAACTTGAATCCACTTCACTCAAAGATGCTTTGTGCTAAGTTTGGTTGAAATTAGTCCAGTGGTTCTGAGAGGTTAAAAATATGACAAGTTAGCAGACAGACAGCTAGAAAGATGGATAGATGACAAACTTTGACCAGAAAAGCTCACTGGAGTCTTTGGCTCAGGTGAGCTAAAATGGATGTGCATACACCACAGAGACCAGATGTGACAAAGAAATCATTGATTTCTCCCTGCATTAGTGTAATCCCTCAAATCAAATACCAACTGTGAAAATATTCCTTCCTTTTAAAATAAATATGCTAAAATATCATAGGCAGTTGATATAGATAAAACGTGTTTTTTTGTGCAATTATACATTTTTTTTTTTTTTCTGAATATGCAGTGTTACAATGATATTGATATCTGTGCAATATGTTATTTTTAGAACATCATGTGCATAAATGAATACCTTGACATCACACTGCACATAATTTGTCTGTTGCTGTAGTAAAAAGAAAATGTCAACATCACATTAACCTATAATCAGAATACACACAGCTCTGCCTTCACAATATATTAAAAACTATATTCTATTGTAAGAAAAACAGGGAACAGATGTAAGCCTACCTGTAAGAGAATTGAATGAAGCCATACTGTCTCCTATAAGACTATTACATCAAGACCAAGACACGAAGGATGAACAATTATAACAGGGACAATCAATACTGGGCTAAGGTAGAAGAGCTCCATACAGACACCAATAGTGTCTTCTGTAGTAGCTGACAATGACCTTGTAGATAAATAACAGAATTCCTTCTACTAGGAGACAACTTCTAAAATTCATGCAAATTTTAAGTGTAAGCAGGTCAAATCCCAGAGGCCATTTCCAATTTACTACATCAGCTATAAGATGCAAAGAATGTCACCTAGGGGTCGTCTATGACTCCATCTCACTGGTGACTATGAGAACTTGATTTCAAAACTTCCTATATTCTTACATGCCTAAGATAGGATTTCATTAAAATAAAATCCAATCTATTCATTTGTCCTTTATAAAGTATTGCTAAATTTATGAACACTCAAACTAATATATATCTAATTATTATATCTAATAATTATGACGTGAAGTGAAAAAGATATGACATAAGTCCACGAACTTACCGAACAACCCTCGTATATATATACATCAGCAAGTTTTTGAGATCGACTATCATTGGGTCATACCAGCTATCGAATTATTATTTTTTACTTGGCTACTCATTAAAAATATGCTACTTTATTGTAAAATCAGGGCTATAAAATAGGATTCACCTTATTTCTAAATGCATCAGTGTGTTCATGAGTGAAACTTGCAATAACGGTAAGGCTTAAAACTTTTTAGTTCATTGTCCTCAGTAAGGAAATATTTGTGCATTGATTTTTTTTGATCATCAAAAATACTATCTAAAACTGCAGTCTGGGCATAATTTAAAAGGTTTCACAATGGGGAGATTGAAAAATAACAATTACATAGATCTAAACATGTGTTTTGAGTCATAACATAAAATTTATTATCGCATTTTAAAGGATTAAAGTCTGACATTTGTCAAATACGTCAAAATCTTTTCTCGAAAGTTACCCGTAAAAATAACAAGGTGCAAGAGCCTGAAAAAATAAGTAATCTACCACAATCATGATTGTAATAGATTTTCTACCTCTAAGTGTTGGAAATGGAAAGAATTATTTGGATTCTGGCTTCAAATAAAAAAATCCTACTCGCATTACAATAAGATCACGTGTAATCATGCGCATACATGTACATGTAAATTATGGAGCATGTATTGTTTTTTTCATGTTTCATATCAGTTCATTTCATTGTATTTCATTTCATATTAATTAACATTTATTGCAAGCTTTCTGTTTTGATACACACATATAAACTTAAACAAGATGTGTACTATGTTAAACCCTGCTGAAGATGTCATTAGAGCATCCGACCTAGAACCTGGTGAATGTTTTACATTTAACATGCTGCAATACCTTTTTACAATATAACCCTAAGTACAAAATTTACCTGAACACCAGGAGTGTCATTTGAATCATGCGGGACCCGAGATGAGTACTGTGAATCAAATGGTTCCACATCATCCTTGGCCAAATTCAGCATGGAGTTACGTCGCTCACCTGAATTACCAGAAATCATTATTTAATTTAAGAGATAATGAAGGAAAACTAAGGCAATGGATTTTTACATTTTCTGTCAGGAATTGATTTGCTACAGCTTAATACAAGTTAATTATTTGACACTTTTTGGTAATAATACCTAGAAAAATCAAGTCTCAAGTCAAAATGTAAGGCCAGTAAAGTTCTCCAAAAGTGAGGTCAATTTCTTTAGTGACTGTGCATCCATAAAATTTCACAAAATTATCTCTGAAGTTCAATAATATCATTAACTTTTTAGGTTCCAATGAGTTCCTTTATTTAACTGAATGAGTTTGTGATTGACTACTGATCACAGCTGATTTCTTTATTGATCAACTAAAACAAGCTGTCTATTCTCTTTTCATTCTTTTAGTATCCCTAGAAACATTACCTTTACAAGTTTTGTCCATGTAGGACTAACCCATTGTAACTATAATTTCTGTGCAATTTAAGAATTCTGCACCCTTGTACACTAAGAAATCATTATATAGTATTAGAATAGAATCTGTATTGGTTTTGAAAAAAAACACCTTGCATTTAGTTACAATAAATTTACTGTGAATCACTTTTTATTCACGATAACCTTTTTTTTCTCATAAATTACAGGAGACAGTTTGCTTGTGACAACTTCATTCTTGCTTACATTATAAAAGATTATTTACAACAAGAACAAAAATTCATCATTTTATTCTCTTACCTATAAATACCAAAAATACCAAATAATTCACCATCCCCTCCCCCTAATAAAAAAAGGTATCATGGAAATTGATCTACAGTATATAATTACATAAACATTTATAAATATTTACATTTCCAATGTCTTTGTCCGAGATAAAATTACAAATTGTAAAAATACTTTATTTCTACATAAATCTACTGGTTCATCGATAGGCGCGGTTAAAAAAAAATCACGTGCGGGGCGGGACACATAGAGACAGAAGCGGGGCTATTAGCACGGGAATTTGCAGAATCAGGAGCATGTAAATATAAGGAATAACTGTCAGATTTTTTGGATTCATGACGATGATCAATCGATTGGCTTGCGTGATAATTTTATGCATAAACGCCTTCGGCGTTTATGCAAATTATCACGCAAGCCACTCGATTGATCACATCATGAATCCAAAAAATTAGACAGTTATTCCTTAAATAAGAAGAGAGGCGCTAGGACCTTAATGGTCACCTGAGTATATTACAACACTTTAAAGGATTCATAAAAGTATAAAATTACAAGTACTATGAGCAATCAGTTCAATAAAATGATACCACCCCCATAAAGTATCATGGCAAAGTCTATTTTTGGCAATGGGAAACCCCAAATATCTGTCCAGTCGAAAAACAAAATAGGAGTGCTAAAGGGGGGGGGGGGGGTATAATAAAATAAACTGAGAAATGAAGATTGTCCAAAATCAAATGAAATAGGATGATTGGGGATCATCAAAATAGTCTAGTCTTCAGCAATAAACTACTTACTTGCCTGTACTTACATACAAACCCATCTGTCACTATCACCATGGGGACTAAACAAAACAAGAGTGCTTGAGCACAGTCATATAATAAACCCATCACATTCCCTCTCACTATGGCTTCCCTTGGTTTTTGAAGACATGGATTTATCAGTACCTTCTCAGGGGCTGAAATTCGGCCCCATTCCCAATTGAAAATGAGTTCAGATTTTCACAATTTGGCAGTGTTTTTTCCCAATTGGTGAACAATGCTTTTATATTTAAATATCTTGGGAAAACACAGAGTAAAATTGTCAGATTGTCTCTAATTTTCATCTATTTAACTCGTTTAGCAAAGCTACAGTCTTAACACATGTTTAAAAACACTATAAAAACATCAGCAACTTTTAATCTGAATTTCTTCTGTTTTTCTGAAAATGGTGATTTTGTGTAATTGTATAGATTTATAAAGTTATTTCCACCTAAAAAATTGATCTACGAGTGAATGGTAAGGACTGTAGGCATTATTTCAGATAGAAAAATATATTTTCAATGTTTTAATACATATCAAAAGAGGGCTTTGAGAAAATGTGTACTTAGTATAATTTTTTGCAGAAGTTTTATAATCTCCAGAAACAGATTCTATAATGACCTAAATTGGAATCTCAAACACCTTAAGTTGTATAGGTAAATACTTTATACTCATTGAAGTCAATTTTACTTTTATTAGTCTATTATTCATAATTGATCTTGTATGATGAAGTTGGATTTTATCATGTATATTTAATTGTCTGTTTGGTTGCCAAAATTAGAGTTCATGCTGAAATGTTAAATGAATTACACCTGAATACATGACTGATACATGTATAAGCAACATTTTAAATTTTTCCCAATTTCATCAAAAAGCCGATAATTTTTTCCCAATTCCCCCAAAATGGCATTTCCCAAAATAGGCTGATAAATCCCTGGAAGAATATGTTATGTACAACATGTACAAAGATTAAGTTTTTCTGGTCTCATTTTCATTGCCTATTATTTACAAGTCTACTTTTTTAAAGACTTAAAGTATTTTCACTGTAGAATTAATAGAGTCCCAACCTAACACCAAAATCCTAAATATGGGTCATGAATTTCAAAATTTTGAAAGAGACATCCTTGCTCATTAAAACCATGCACTTTGTTTATACCTAAGACCAGAGAAGAAGATTTTCAAAGAATTAATGCATAATTTTCACTATATTTCACTATAAAATCAATAGAACCCACCTTACAACAGAACCCTTGCCCCAGGGCAGGGGCCTTGAAATTACAATTTTGGAAGAAGTACCCTTGCTTATTATAACCAAGCATTTACTAGTTTGCTAAATATCTAGGGGTAAAGAAGATTTTTAAAGAATCTATGCATTTTTACTATACCACCTTAACACCAAAACCCTGACCCAGGGGTCTTAATTTCACAATTTTGGAAAAGGCACCCTTGCTTATCATAACCATGCACTTTATCTGCTAAATGACAGGAACAGAGTTTTACAGGAATAAATGCATTTTCATTATATAATCAATAGAACCTTGCTCTAACACCAGAACCCCTGAAATTCACAATTTTGAAAGAGGCACACTTGCTCATCATAACCATGCACACATTTGGATTGCCTAATTCTCAGGTGCTGAAAAGAATTTCAAATAAAAGATCCATTTTCAATTTATAATCAATATAGCCCCACCCTAACACCAAAACCCCTGTGCCAGGGGCCATGAATTTCCCAATTTTGCACATCCTAATTAATCATGCACTTTTGTCTGCTAAATATAACGAGGTGAAGATTTTAGAAGAAATTATGCATTGTCACTAAATGATCAATAGAGCCCCATCCAACCCAGAGCCCATAAACCCTGGATTCATTAATTTCACAATTTTGGTATAGGGCTCAATGCTTATTACAATCATGCCAACAATTTGACTGCTTGATGTCCAGGAGTAAACAAGAAAATTTTTAAAGTTTGCACTAATATTAATGGTTTAACCCCTATCCCACAGGCTCTAGGTGTGGGGACTATGAAATTCAAATTTTTGTTCTCCTTTACCAATAGATGCTATATGTCAAAATTGATTGAAATTGGTTCATAAGTTCCATAGAACATGCTGAAAATATTCAAATGTTAAGGGAGGACACGTCACATGAGGAAGGACAAAAACGGATAACAGTAGGTCACCTGAATCATTCAGCTGACCTAAAAATGTGATTAATATTGAAAGTATTACCTTGTTGAACGACAGGCAGGGGTGAAAACCGACCTTCGTTTTCAAGCGAAGGACAAGAGTTACTGTGCCTGGCTAAGTGATCCTGTAAAAAAAAAAATTCACTTAAAACAAGCATGTCCATCAGCAATCATCAAATACTTCCTATAATCCAAAAATAATTTCTTTTCAAATAAGAAACAATTGTCCCACTTTAATCAGACCCAATGTCTGGATGCTTTGAGGAAAAAACCCACAAGACCAGATTTTTCTACTTCTGCTAAAGATGGTAATATTCCACAACTGACCTAGATCTCTTAATCAGAACAAACCTTCTACTTATCCAATCAGAAAATCAGACTCATTTGAAAATGACCGACACACATAGAATACAAAATTGAACATCAATTGTTGAGAATTGTAATGAGACGTTTACAGGAGAGGATATAACCTTATCAGGCCCTGGGTAATTGTGTTGGAAAACCGTAAACTCTGGAGAGTTAGGAAAATAAGAGCTACCAATAAACAGGAGAAGTCTGGAAATCCTAAATTTGTGATTACCATGCAGGAAAGACATGTCAAGAAAGTGTGACAAACTGACATAACAAGTATCATCAGATAATAGTTTATCTATACTCAAACTTTCTTAGAAAATGCAGGTATAAAAAGAAATCTTGGAAGACCATATCCATAGCAGGAAGAAAAACATGAAATAAGGATGTTCTTTAGCTTTGTCCCCATAAACCCATTCAGAAACCATCAAATACTCTGACCACAAAATTTTTTATTAGCGTAAAATATTGTTAAGGAAATAGTATTTTTTAAAAAACAAACCCACATGCATTAAACATTTGCAGAGAATCGTATGGTGTATGGTGCCACTGAGCATGTTGAACACCGTTGAAGAAGTGAAATTTCTAGTACAATATGATATTTAAAACTGAAACAGATAATGGAAACAAAGAATTTATTTTGAAATATTTATCATTCAAATACTAAATAAAGGAAAAGTTAAGTTGCTCATAAATTGAAATAATTACGAAGTCAAAATGTAAGAAATAGTCCTTTCACTCAATGTCCCGAGTCGGCTTCTTCTCTTTCCTCCCTACTTGTCGGCAAATTTCCCTAATTATTTTATTCTGATAGTTCATACATAAAGGATTGAATGTCTATTACCAAAGGAATATTGTTTGTCATACATTAAAACTCGGTTATAGCAAAGTTCTGGGGACTTTGGAATTTACTTCACAATATTATATCTGTGTAAAGAATTCCTTAAAGTATACATAGCAAATTGGCAATATATGTTTTTATTTTCATTCAAGTATGACGAACAAATGTATTTAAGGAAGTATAAAATACAAAATTTACCTTCGAGTTCAAAAGTTTTTAGATGAATCGCATTTCAAATATAAATACTTACAAAATTAATGTCAGTTCAATATTTTAAAAATTTAGATCTTTGAAAATTCACTGTAAAAGATGTAAATATCATTATTTTTAACTTCTAGGGGACTCAAAATCAGTCCACAATAACTGTAAATTTGATATATCTGAGTTCATTATATCCATGAAGTTTTACAAGGAATAGTTAAGAATTTCACAGGGGATTGCGGAAAACTTCGCTATATCTGTGAATTCGTATGTTCGTACTAAATGAGTTACACTGTAGTTTCCACCATCCATACTGTATAGTTGACTTATTTGTGCCAAATCTTTTTGTAGTACCTGGTATTTATTTTTACAATCAACTAGCTTTTCGAGAACTCACTATGACTCACTATATATATATAACTCACTATGATGTTTCAGTACCAATTTAATTGACTGTTATCTAATTAATGGAGATTTTTCCTGCACGTATAATAATCTACAGGCATTTTATCACCTCTAATTGCGACTGTTTTTGAATGGTAAAACAATAATTATATGTTCCAAGAATATAACTGTTTTATTTTTAAGAAATTTGGGAGAGTGATAAAAACCCTTTAACTCTTTATCCTTGAACTCTTATCATCTATCTCTCACCCTCAGTATTGTTAACTATATCATTCCTCATAATAGGTACTTATTACAGAATATGCTTCTTGTTTTTGTTCCTATGACATTGAACTCTATTGTATGACCCCACATACATTCTAACCTGAATTTTGGGATGAAATTTTGTGTTCTCATTGGCTGCATGGTTCTGCCTCTGTTTATTGGCTAAGTTCCGAAATTCGAAACTTGAAGCATTGACAAGTTTTGTTTGTATACCTGTTTTTCTGTCAGTATATTATAATTTAACTCATGAAATTGAGGAACCTGAGGAACCAAATGATATAATTGATATTATATAAAGGTCTGAAAATCTAAAACAAGGGAAAGTAACATATAAGTAATTGTAAACAAAATCATAACATAATCACCTTGACACACATGATTTGGGTGTAAAGTTTTCAAAAGTATCTTCCTGGAATAGATCAGAATTAAGTAAATGCAGATTCTCTCCACATGAAAGTGTGCAATATTTGAAGCTCATTATATTGCAGGTGAAGCTCACTCACAGAAAGCTATCAAAAAATAAATCTTCATTTCCAGCTAGATGGAAGCACCTGCTGCAGCCATTACCTAGCTGATAAACTTATACTCTTACTTTCATCAGAAAAACTTGACCAAGATCTAAGTGCACATCACAGAGGAAGATAATAACTCCTCTGATTCTGTCTGTGTTGTGTATTCTTCATTCTTAACACTATGGGGTCCAGGCGGAGAAAGCAGAAAAAAAATGATGTACAGAAGGGTGGAAAAAGAGCAGAGCATGGCTCATTATAACTTCAAAGCCAAAGAAGCAGTAAATGTAGTGTATGGATAAACAATTAATTTCCTCTCCAACAGTAAAGGATCTGAACCTAGCACCTCTATCACTCTCTCCACCTCCCTCCCCACTCTCAGACTCCTCTGTGCTACACCAGGTCCCTGAAGTAGAAATCTCTCACTGCTAATCACTCTAGCCATCAATCACAACCACTCAACAATCAGCAGAGCCAAGACATCTCTTGTTTACTAGCTCAAAAATAAACACAATCAGAGGTTGTTAGCCTTCTACTGCTGTTCCTTCACTGCAAGATTCATATAACATGTACAGCATGCTTCATAAAACATAACCTTAATTTAAATGATTGACCTGACAATAAATTCAAAGAGAAGTCATTTTTCCCACTCTTAAACCCACAAGAAAACTGTCTTCACAGAATTTTTCCTAACCATTAAACACACAGTTCTATTCTTTTCAATATATTATACATGCAGTGCTAAGCACACTGCAACTTGTCTCAATATTGGCTTTTTCATAAATTTAAGTTTATGAAAAATTGGAAAAAAAATATAATAATTTTATGAGTTTGTCAAATGAATTAAGGCCTTAAATAATGATACGTCTCTTGTCCATCATCAAGTTTTGTCTAAAAATGAAGATTAAAATTCTTCATTTTTAAATCTTGGCTGAGATATCACATTTAACATTTCTACAAGAAAAATATATGACCCAACCTAACTAGTGCCACAGACAAAATCTACTTGTCCTGGTACCATTTTGTACAAAGTACCTTTCTAGTAGCACCCACTCCAACTTGCTCCAATTTGCAACTCCCATTTGAACTCATACCATTGTGTCTCACCCACCTTAACAAATACCACAGACTGTACCAATTACTTTAACTCATATCACGTACCTTGTCCCACCCACTTTATCTCATATCACTATCACACTCATGTTAACTAATACCACTGACTATTACATCCATTTTATCTCATATCACTGACTGTCACACCCATTTTATCTAATATCACTGACTGCCACACCCACCTCAACTCATACCACTGACTGTCACACCCACTCTCACTCAAACTACAGTGCAACTCCCACTCTCACTCAAACTACAGTGCAACTCCCACTCTCACTTGTACCCCTGTGTTACATCCACCTAACTAGTAGCACTGTGTTACACGCGTATTTTACCACTAAGTCACATTTGCTAAAACATACCACTTCATAGCATCCACTCAACTTGTACCAATTTCTATCATCCACTCTAATTTGTACCATAACGGACCATCCACTTTAATTTACACCACTTTATAAACAGCCAATTCAACTAGTACCACTATGCACCAACTTAAATTAGTAACTTGACACAAACACCCTACTTTTTTGTTTAGATATTACCAGTTACAGCATCAGATGGGAGGCAATACTGACAAGTGGGATTTAAGTGACATCAGTTGGTGTGATACTTTGCCTACCTTTCAAATCTTAAGATTCAAGATTCAAATCGGAGGCTTCTACGAACATGTTCTCATCAAAGTACAGAGCAAAGCCTTAACAATAACAGAGAACATTTCACACCTTCATGTTTAAACATACACTGTTTCTGACAGGGGATTCCTCTGGAGAGGTGAACAACTTCACTTTTACTCTCCCTTAGCAGGCAAGATAGTCACAATTAATACACATATCACAGTCTTCTTGCGTGGGAGGCATAAAAAGGTCATCTTGATTGTTAAAAGTGACAAAACTGACATTAAAATTAAGCTAAGAAATTTATATCTGTTTTAGTTCTGTCAATTTTATTAAAGATATAATTATTAAGAACTCTAGTTCCTTTTCCTTGACATTCTATATTCTCCCCAAGAGATGCCTAGGAGACTGGCAAATTGACAGAGGATGTGGTTATTGGATCCACCATTTACAACCCACAAAAATACTTCCTTAAGAAGACTCCATTTTATGGCAATTTGCATAAAAGAGCATCTGACAAATGAATTTTACTATGATAAGTAATGTTAACATGTAAACAATAATTACTTCTTGGTATTTTTAAGATATAAGATATATTCTTAAGATATATAGTATCTGAAGCTTATTAAATCATATGAAATCTAGATAAAAAAAAATTTACAAGTACTATAAGTCAGCAACTGTCTGGTTGGTGAGAATGAGAAGCTCATTATTTTTACATAGGAAATCACAGGAGGGGGTGCTAATTAGGGTGAACATGGTAATGAAAAAAATTCCCATATATTCCTTTGTAAAAATTTGATCCCTCATTGTGGCTCCTCCCTATC